ATTCCCATGTTAAAATATCTGAACAGACTCTCTCAAGTAGTCATCATAAGACTGTAACCAGTGGATCAACAGGATTCCCCACAAAAACTACCTCAGGAACTGATCATCAGGATGGATTAGGCTCCTCTCAAAACTACCAGGAAAGAATGACTAGCGCTGTAAATCTTATTAGCAGCATCTCCTGCCCGACAGCAGAATCAGCCAAAGTTGGTCCAGAGACAGGCTCTTCCTTTGTGTGTTCATTATGTTCCCAAGTGTTCACAAGGAAGTTTAACCTCCGGCGACACATGCGACACCTTCATGGGATAGATACTACTAGTCTAGGAGAAGAGCCAAAGGTGCCATTCTTTCCTCTTACCCCAAATTTAGAGGAGGAAGTAGATGATTGGCCGATTGAACAAGACCATGGAACACCAACCTCGGAGGTAGATGGGGAGTCAGGTGATGGTAAAGCCAGTACACAGGAACATGAAGATGAATCGGCAGAGGATCGTTATTCTAGTGACACGGACCAAGATGGTAGACAGGAACAGGAGGTCGAGGGTGAGAGTCCTCCTATTACCCTTGACATTCCAGAGGAAAACAAGTCGGAACCTAAAGGGAAGGAAACAAGCACCACGTCACAAGTAAGTGTACCGTCTGCTAGGGCTAGGTCACCAGAAGTGAGGACAATCGGAACCCAGACTCATGGACCTTCCTTCACACCTAACGTATACGTACATGTAGATCAAGTATATTTCTAAGTTGGTCTCTCATAGATGTAAGATGTTATGTTAACTTGTTCCTTAATATAGCTCGTTCATATCATGTAGTGCGGGAACTCTTGCCCTGGAATTGGTCAACCTGTAGTAAAAATAAGCCACATGGTTATGAGTCATCGGCAATTAAAGGATCTGTGATTGACATTGTCATAGTGATCTCCAACAATGCATCACCAAATGAAATAAAAACACCAGCTCGATCCAGCTGTAGCCAATCAGATCACTTCGCTATGCATATCATTAGTGAGGTGAGACAGGAAATAATCTAATGTAGCATCATTGTTAAAGCTAAATCGGGAATATAATGGAAAATATAATTCTATTATCGAATGTTTATTGTGTTTGTGGATGCTGATAATTCTGAGGAAGTCTGGAGATTAACCAAGTGTGGATTAGCGTTAATTGGAGTATATTTATCGTTTCGTGACGGAAAAGACCATGACACGTGGATATAGGACCATTTGGCATGGTGTGATGTGGGCGAACAAGGAGAACGCCTAAAGAACATTTTCCAGATTTTGTAAGTGCTGATCTATTTCTATAATTCCTTTTTGTGATAGAATCAAAAGGTTAATTTGATCCTTTTCGATTTAACATTGAGATTTTGGGGATTGCATCATACACTCCCACAATCCTTTGCAATTCCGCCATCTTGGATGACTTCCGGTCCACGTGTGGTTCAAGTCTAATCTCAGAATTTGATTGACATTCTTGATCTACTCGTTCCTTGAAGCAAGCGTTTTTTTTATTTTTGAGCGGTAGTTTTATCCACATTAAAATGTGTGGATCAAATCTAATCTCAGAATTTGATTGACATTCTTGATCCCATCCGGAGCAAGTATTTTGTGGAGCAGCAGAGTTATTTTCTTTTGGACTGGTAATTTGGGTCTAATCTCATAATTTGATTGATATTCCCGAATTACTAGTCTGGTTTTGAACAGCTGGGATTCAACGTGAACTGACTATTTTATTCCTTTGAGGGCTGATAGTTGGGTCTAATCTCAGAATTTAATTGATATTCCCAATTTATTCGCCAAGAGCAGTAAAGAAGAGTAACCGGGCTGAAGAAGAGTAATCCTGATTAAACAGAACAGAAGAAGAGTAACGAGTAAGCAGAGCAGAGCAGAGTAAAGAGTAAGCAGAGCAGAGCGGAATAAAGAGTAACCAGAGCAGAATAGAGTAAAGCAGAGCAGAACGGAACGGAATAAAGAGTAACAAGAGCAGAAGAGTAAAACAGAGCAGAGCGGAATAAAGAGTAACCAGAGCAGAATAGAGTAAAGCAGAGCAGAGCGGATAAAACACACTAGGGTAAAAGCTGCTCAAATTGAACTTTCTTATGTCAAGCAAGTTGGATGATTAATTACACTCTTGTAGGCCAGTAGCGTATATTTACTAAGCTTGCTGCTGTTTAGCCCTATTAACAATATTAACACTTTTGAATTTCAAAATAACGGCTTTGATCAATTTTAGCAAGAATATAGAAAAGTTTGTCACATGACTAAACAAGAGATGACTAGGTTAATTTCAGGGTTCACTCCTGATTTGTTTTTACATTTTTGTTCTTAAATTATGCTAAATCAGAATAAAGTTAAGTTGTACTTTTTGCACGGGTAATTCTAGAGTATTTTCTAAAATCTTCTCTCAGTAAAACACATGATTAACAATGGTTTACAATGATATTTTTACAAGGTTGGATCCATATTATGAAGGACAGTATGTTGCACTTGAAATCAAAATATAAAGCTATAGTAGCAAGTATAAAGACAAGAAAATATTAATTAAAAAACAAAAACATACATAAATCTGACGGATATGGATATTCAATACTTCATAAACAATACTTTGCCACTTTATATTTTTACAAAGTTGGATCCATGCTATTAAGGTAAGTCTATTGTACATAGAAATCAACACATAAACCTGTAGTAACAAGTATTAAGACTTAAAATATATACTTTATGCATACACTCAAAAAATCCCTGTGTTAATGGTAAAATACTATGGCAAAATGGAAAGTTCTACTCACACTGATCTTGTTAAGGTACAGTTTCCTAAATTCAAAATTGTTACTAAAAGAAAAGAATTATGGATTGTGAAAGATATTTGAATAGTCAAATTGCATGTAAAATTTTGTCAAAGTAAATAGTGGCAAAGGTGTTTAAATCGTTGCATATTATCAGTGGAGAAGTGAAAATTCCAAGAAATTGTTTCTCTCTGAAAAACCCAATGTTATATTGGAGAAATGACCCACACTTCTTAACTTGTAATATCTATTTACTGGGTCAATTTTTTTAAGATTTCACCATTTTGTACTGATTGGACAATAGAAACCAATAGTAGAAACAGAAACAAAGTTAAACTAGTTTTTAAATCACTTAAAACCAACATTTTTTATGCGGGTTAATTAAACTTGCCTTCATAGCATTAGAGAAATCTATGCTATGCTCATCTCAGAATGCCTGATAAGGCTAGTAAACAAAGCAGTGGCTCTGGAGCAAGGGGTAATTAATCTTCTGAGCATTTGACATTAATAGATACATGGAGTCCCCTAGTGTGTAAAGAGTAAGCAGAGCAGAATAAAGAATAAGCAGAGCAGAAAGGTGTAAAGAGTAAGCAGAGCAGAACCGAAAGGAGTAAAGAGTAAAGCAGAACAGAAAGGAGTAAAGAGTAAGCAGGGCAGAATAAAGAGTAAGCAGAACAGGAAGGAGTAAAGAGTAAAGCAGAACAGAAAGGAGTGAAGAGTAAGCATGGCAGAATAAAGAGTAAGCAGAGCAGAAAGGAGTAAAGTGTAAGCAGAGCAGAACAGAAAGGAGTAAAGAGTACGCAGGACGGAATAAAGAGTAAGCAGAGCAGAAAGGAGTAAAGAGTAAAGCAGAACAGAAAGGAGTAAAGAGTAAGCAGGGCAGAATAAAGAGTAAGCAGAGCAGAAAGGAGTAATGAGTAAGCAGAGCAGAACAGAAAGGAGTAAAGAGTAAGCAGGGCAGAATAAAGAGTAAGCAGAGCAGAGAGGAGTAAAAAGTAAGCAGAGCAGAGCAGAGGAAAGCAAAACAGAGTAAAGAGTAAGCAGAGCAGAATAGAGTAAAGAGTGAAACAGAATAGAGAGTAAAGCCGAGTAGAGTACAACGAGAGAAGAGCAACAACACAACTCTTACATTTGATTATTATATGGACATTGTGTTTATTTTGTTATTAAGAAATTATAGTGTTAATAAATTTTGTATATAAATGTGTAACCACCTCCCCTTTCAGTGAAAGCAGTACCACCAAACCAGGTCTGCGCCCACATAAGACCAGTGAAAATCCCATATTAAATAAATTGTTCGTGACCCGACCACAACCACACTACCAGATTTTGGCCAGGTCCGACAATACATTTGAAAACGAGGCTGCATCTGGACAATGCAGAAAACAATGAAATACACGCTAATATTTGCAATCATGTGATCGGTTCTTATCCAATGAGAAAGCGAGGAACATTTCAATGATCTAATAAATATATATATTGTAACATGGTCATTTTCACATTGTTTATATTTCTACTATTCATATTGACCAATCCCCATCCATGTCATTTTAACAGGTCCCTTCATTACTTCACACCCGTTTGTCTAATATTTAATTCCAATGTTTTCAGTTCTTTTGTATACTTTCTACTTTAGCTTCCTTTGTTTAAACCAGTTTTTAGCTTTTCATGGTGTGATTGTTTCGTACTGTTTTTGTATTCCATATAATAGCATTCACTCACATGTAGCTGAGCTGGGGTGTTGTCCCTTTACTAGTTAGTGTTGCCTAGAGTTTGTGCTGTACATACACAGAGTATTTCAAATAGATATTTTAAACATTTTAACTTCATCTACTGTTATATTTGATTGCCACCCACGGGCCTTCCACTCGCCCGTTACATTGGTACCAGGACTGGGGTAGGCAATGTTGTAGCAGCAAAGACAGTGGGCTAAGCAAGCTTTGGAAAAATTTGAAAACATTTACATATATACAATAATAAAAAAAGCGGATTACTATTCGACAATGATAACCTGTTGGTTTTGTAAGTCTCCAGGGCATACTAAAAGATGTTGTAAATTCTTCAAGCAAGCGAAGTACTTTTGTTCGATGTGCAGCTGTTATGGACACCGTGACCGAGACCACAGTCAGCCAGACAGGTATGTTAGGACTGTTTCCATACACCCTGTGAATGTGAAATCTGCGTCAATTCAGACACAAAAGTGCTAAGACACGAAAAAACCGAAAAGTCACAACAAATATACCCAAGCATGGAAACTGTTGACATGAATGAATACAGTTCCAATATGGCCAATTTTAAGCGTATTCAAAGTGAATTGTTTGGTCAGAAGAAAGGAAATGATATCTACAAAGCTCAACTTAAGTCATATATGAAAACCATTGAATTATTGGAACAGGATGTTGCAGAATACAAAGCAAACAATGATCAGGACTTCTCACAGATTATTGCATCACAAAAACGGATTGATGATCTACAGTCTGAAAACAACGAATTTTCTAAATTGATCAAAGATCTTACCCGCAAACTAGAGGATCAACATCAACAAATATGTGCGTATCAGGATAAAATCAAGAATTATGTGAATATGTTGCCCAATACAGTTTACACCTCTGGATATATGGAGTTTCTTGGAATGCGCAATCAATTTCAAAATGACTACTTCGCCACAATGTAAATCTAAGTCAGATGTACCACCAGAGGAGAATTCGATCAGCAGATATTAGTGCTAAATAATGTAGGAATCTAAAAATTCTCCTCTTGATGACACCACACAATCTATATCTGCCATATTACAATGATATGATGCCGCCTTTTGATGTGCAATAATTTTGCCCATCTGATAATAATGTGATATATAATTGATGCTGATTGCAACCATTAGTTTTATATTCAAACACGTTCTTATACTTAAATTGTGAATGGCATGATGCTATTCATGCTATAAAATAGTGTATTGATTAACTGCCTAAGTGGTGTATTACTTGTCTATGAATTGGTGTATAACTTGCCTATGAATTGGTGTACTAACTTTGCCTTGAATGGTGCATATTTAAGCCTTTAATAGTGTATCACAGCCTACCATTGTGTACTATTTTGTCTTTAATGATGTAGATTATGTAAGCCTATAATGGTGTTGCCAAGGGATAATTGTTTAATTATAAACATTTTGCCTATATTTCTCAGGTATACAATTAAGCCTATTTTAATATTGAAGGTGTAGCATTGATTCAATTTTAATGTCATTTTAATATCATCGTACATGTGATTCAATTAATTTGTTTGAATTTTCAACAATCCACTTTATTCTTTATGGTGTTATTTATACTATATTTTGTTCTGGTAGTGGATGTTTAAAAGGGGAGGTTTAAAAAACTACTTAATATTTTATTGTAAACCATTTTGAAAAGTGAAGTTTTATATTTTCCATATTTTGTGGCCGAGTAAGGCTTAATGCGAGGCGCATTAGGACGTGTCCGCGTGGATGTAACATGGTCATTTTCACATTGTTTATATTTCTACTATTCATATTGACCAATCCCCATCCATGTCATTTTAACAGGTCCCTTCATTACTTTATACCAGTTTGTCAAATATTTAATTCCAATGTTTTCAGATCTTTTGTATACTTTCTACTTTAGCTTCCTTTGTTTAAACCAGTTTTTAGCTTTTCATGGTGTGATTGTTTCGTACTGTTTTTGTATTCCATATAATAGCATTCACTCACATGTAGCTGAGTTGGGGTGTTGTCCCTTTACTAGTTAGTGTTGCCTAGAGTTTGTGCTGTACATACACAGAGTATTTCAAATAGATATTTTAAACATTTTAACTACATCTACTGTTATATTTGATTGCCACCCACGGGCCTTCCACTCGCCCGTTACAATATATTATATATATATTATTTCTCAGCTTTCAGACTAATTAATGCAGCGTACAAAGAAAATACATGTAAATCTTGTTTGTGTTGAATTGACTGTGCCAGCAAAATTCAGTCATTGTGATTGAACAATCCTAAAACATGTGAAATAGTAACCGTTTTTATTGCTCTACATATTAGTAGGAAACCTGCAAGGAGAGATTGAAACATTTATTATTTAACCCATACTTTGGTAAATCACTATCGTCCTATTAATATACATGCTATAATATTAAACCAGTTATCTTAGCAGGTACATCAAGCATTGGGGTAAAATCCTGAAAAATAGTTATGAAGGACGTTTAATACTATTTATTCCATACTTAGTAGTGTTATAGTAGTGGTGAAAACATGCAGGAACATAATTGATATCTGAAGTGAGCGGGTGATATATATATCACCCGCTGATATCACCCGCTCATCAGATCTACGACGTCTCAAATTCAGAAGTAGATACTGAGCCAGGGGACTGGACCATTAACCCTCATAATCTCCTAAGTATAGAATAAATCAGTTATTAAATGCTCGATATTTGATACAGGGTATATCCCTCGGTAAATACAATACATCAACCCTCGGTCCCTACGGTCCCTCGGGTTGATATATTGTATTTTCCTCAACTATATCCTGTGTCATAAACCTCCCATTAAATAACCTCTATTATCCTATGCCAAGTAGAGCTTTAGGGAGATAAGTTGATAAGATATATCCTGTATCCTGATTTTGAGGTTTCCATATCCAGAACCTCTATATATCCCGCCATATCTCCCGCTTCTGTGCATATCTTCCCGCGTCCGGTAATTTCACTTCACACTTTTAAAAACTTTTTTTTTAAATCTCGCAAACTTTAAGACCAAGAAAACGCGTACCTTAAACCTGCACATCGCTCCAAAACGCAATATGTTGACATATATTGTTTTTACATTTTCAAGCTCTAATATAAAGTTTATGTAAATAAAAATTGTTTTTTTCTGCGTAATATCAAAGAACAATCATTTAGTTAAAAAAATAAAAAGGCGAGTGCGGGATTCGAACCCGGGCCTCCCGCGTGCTCGGCGAGGATTCTACCGCTACACCACTGTATTATTATGAATGGGGATTGTAATTAAACGCTACTTATTTTGAATGCTATGATTCGGAAGTGACGTCACGTTCTTCATTTAGAAACCTTTCCAAAATCATATCGCCGGCTCAGATCGAAGCTAATTCAATGAAAAATCTTTGAAATGACACATTTATCGTAAGTATTTCTACACAAGATTTGCCCCATTTGTTCATCATTCTATAATCTTTCATTAAGCTCAAAATGATAAAGTTCACCCCCGAAACAACCCAAGATTGCGTTTCGGAGCGTAGTCCAGCTTTAAAGGGGCACTATGCCATAGGATAGCACAGTCAAGACCCCTCTGGACTTTTTTGCGTATTGAGTTTCACCACATATATAACAATCTACTAACCAAAGAAGTCCCGAATCCCCCTCTTTCAGTGTTAATTTTGCGATTGTGCTGGCCGATCTAATTATTTTCAAAGAAATTAATTCAATCTGAAGTTTGAATATTCCGGAAAAGTCATCCTGTTATCTGATTGGTCGTTGAATTTGTTTATCATAAACCTGATTGGCTCTCTGGTTCAAGGCGCTTGTGGGCACTTGTGTGACTCAATGGGGATTCCCCTCGATAGCCAAGGAATCGATTGTGTTTAATTCTGGGGTTTGGTTGTTCTGTTGATTATTTCTGATATTTCGGTAATAATATACCCAAAAGTTATTCTCAAGATATATCCATGGTATGTGAGATATATTATATGAGCAATAACAATAGGACATCATTGATTGTCTGGGGGAGAAACCTATGGCATAATGCATCTTTAAGTAATTTTGGATCTTTATAAGGTACGATTTACCTAGAACCTCAGTAGGTATGAAATACATCTGTCATGTACGGTCGGTTTTGGATACATTTATCCTTTTGTTACATTGTTAAACAAAACTTTTGTATTTCAAAAAGTTATCAATGTATTTAAAATTTAAAAGTGGAAATGCAATAACATGACTTGGCATATGAATTATTTGTTTATTTTTACACCGTGTACTATTGAAATGGCCATATGCCCCTGGAAACTCTACTTGGTATAGGATAAAGCAGTTATGTACGGTCGGTTTGGATATTGTTTGATATAAAATCAGGACATCATTTCAGAAAAAAATATTTGGGTGAGTTGTTTGCATCTTCCCTGTCTCAAAGTATAAATTATGTTATCATCTCTATGAGTGCTTTCCATTGGGGCCGAATACACGCACCTGTTTAAGTCCTCAGAAAATAGCCAAAATCCAACATATGCCTGTCCGAAATCTGTTGTGATACTTTCCGTCCTCCTTTGAATATTTAATGACGTAAATCAAGATTATTTCTACTCGCATCTTGTCTATTTACTTTTGTCAAAATACCAGAGTCTGAAAATATCACTCACCTCGAAATCAACGAAAGAAGTTTCTGTTTTGATCGACTGAGAGAGCAAGTTTAGCTAAAAGGGTTTCATTCAGTGCGAAATTGATTTCGTTTTTAGCCACCCGTTGTAAGTTGATCTAGTTAAGTTGATATTTTCGAACGAAGGAAGATTTGCACAAAAAAATAAACTCCGCTTCACGGGTTCTTTATCACTATGTCGTCGTTTTGGTGATACATATCGGAATTTATGAGTCATATCCATTCAAGCAAGCCTCAAAAAAGTATGTAGATAGTTGTTTAATCGTATAAATATTATGAATATTCTTCTTTTAAGTCATGCGTTTGCTAGTTACAAAGGAAGTGTTAGGTTGTGTGTCAATTATTATCGAGATGCTTGTGGCAGCCTTGGATTTTGGTGATTACACGGAATTATTGCTTGGAGATATAGCAGATTAGCTTTGGGGTCATAATTTTCCTTTTATCAGGAAGTGAATATTAGCTCTCTAACTATTGCATGACTTCGGGAAAACAAGAGAGCTGCCCCAAAATTGATCAACTGCCAAACTCCCATTAAAGTGTCTCGGAATAGACACACTGGTGGGAAAATGAAAAAATATATACACTATCTGAAAAAAGGTCCGCTTTCCCTTCCTACGTATTCAAATTTCGAATGAATTGTGATATAATGTATTCTGAAGCTTCGAGCTTTGTTGTTTAAATAGCTCTGTGGGTTCTTCATAAAATAATATGGATTGGTCTTGTAATGTAAAAAGACAAGATTAACACAGAATTAATATACTCATAAAACTATACTTTATTCCAAGTAAAAGACTAAACATGTACAATTACACTCTTCAGTATAAAATAAAACTGTTCAAAGATAAAGAAAGAATGAAAATGAGATTAATAAGATGAAAATAAATGATGTGTGATGTTCCCCCCGATCTAACTCTCTACTGAATGAAGCCCAAAATTTCTCTTAAATACCCCCAAGTTATAGGAAATGAAAGGCAATGCCTTACCCTACAAAACCTATAAGAAACCCATTGAAAGATGGCAGCACAATACGGTAAATCAACATGAAAAATGCTATACAACCCCCACCCAAATAAAATGACAATTCTCCTGACATTGTACGTACTAAAAAAACTGAAAATACGCAAAATCTAAATAAATGTATATGATATTTTAACAATGTCCTATATGAATGTTTACTAACACAGTGCCGCATACATAGTTCGTGTATAATCCATATCCATATCCAATATCCATATGAAATATCCACGCAGAGTTCGTGCAAATATCCTTGCTTCATACGTAGTTCCTGTTGATAAACGTCGTTATAATAAACCATAATAAGTTCCGATTTTATAATCCGCATAATCCGCGTATCTAGTCCTGGATCCAATGCGATGCTGTAATACGTGCATCTAGTCCACGATGTAATATTTTCGAATCCAAAATATGCACCGTCTTA